AATCTGTCTCTGAACTGATGAAAGCAATGCACTGTCCATGAAAATCAAACCACTGGCTTCATAAACCTTTAGATGGCAGGAGCCCATCTACCTGCGAGCACTGGGAGCGTGTGGCATCAGGGTTGCGTGCTTCTGAAACACCCCTTTTCCCCCTTGCCATCCGTGAGTAAGAGGCATTCGTAGGAGGAATACTTACTGCAGTTAAAGGAACTATGTTTTTGTACACATGCTTAGCTGAAGGGAGGATGGAAGTGGAGCAGAGTGAAACAGTAACTGTGATGAAGTTGTAGATTTTTAGCTCCAGGGTCCAAGAGGGACTGGGATTTAGTCATCTGGGCTGACAATAGATAAAAGCATTCCAGAGTCTGAACAGAGCTGAAAGAAGCTGTTGGGACAGAAACTAGCTGATAGCATCTAAAACCAGCTCATTATGAGATTATATAATAATAGAGTTCTCATTTGTTATAGATATGCAAGTTTGTATTTGCCTGTATGCACATGCACACAGCTATTGAAGTAGCGAGTTTTATGCACAGATTTCTGAATGTGGGAGTTGGGCCCCTGGTAGGAAATTCCTCTGACACTATACAGCTTTGGAAGGACTCCTCTGGCTGATGCTCCTTTTGGGACGTACCTAAATGGAACGGTACTGAGAAAATTATTGCTGCACTCTGCAGATGCATAAGCCTCACAAGCCTGCGGCTTTTGCTTTCCATCGAAGGAATAAAGAATACTACTTCTGTAGCAGGGATATTAGAATAATTGTCACATTGGTGTTTGTCAGAGAAGGGCTTTCTGTTCTAATTGTCTTCCAGTAATCTGCCTTTCGCATGCTCCTCCTTTGGATTTTCTTCTCCCTTCTGCTGACTGAAGAGTTCCTTGTTTCCAGGGTAAGCTAATACTGCTCCTAAATTAGTCGGTTGATGTAAAGGAATGAAACTGCAGAGAAACGGAGTGGTAGCATGTTTCGTTCTTTCAGGAATAAGGGAGGAGGGGTTACAGAGGGGAGAATTAGGGGCCTGAAAGGAAAACCTAGAAAAATAAGAGGCCTTACTGAAAGCTAAAACTCTATAGAGTGTATTACTCCTGGAAAAGCAAATAAGAACGCAGAAGACAAACACCAAGCTGAATATTTGGAATGGACGAAGGGGAGGAGAGGTTGGCAAAGGGTCAGGGAGATACTGACTTGAAAGAGAGAAAGTATGTGGAAGCAGCTGTAACCTGGGCAGTGTCATTGGGGGAGCAGAGTGAAGGCATAGTTGATCTGAACCAGAAAACTCGTTCTGAAAGGTTTTGCCTGCAGAGGTACTAGAAAGTAGCACAAAACTTGGATGAAGGAAATTGAATAGTACAGGCCAAGCAGAAACCGCACTTCACATTAGAGCGATATAGGTAATAGCTAGGCAGTATTTTGAGTGATTCTGCAACTGGATAGTTGTGCATGATTTGGTAGCAACTGCAGTAATATAGTAGGAGGATGTCTCTGACTGTGTTGCTCTGCCAGCAGCAGGAGAATTATTTCTTAAAGGAGGGCAAGAGAAAGAGAGGAAAACGAAGTTGTAACTTAAAAGACTTATGGTCAGGCAGGGAGTATGTTAGAAAATTACAAAACAAGGGAGTATTAACCCACAGGTGTTGCCAGTGATGAATTCACTGGATAATTTATCAGTCTACCTCCTATTTGTAGCAGAGAACTGGATGTTTTATGTGGAAGTGGTTATCAAAGTGAAGTGCAAATTACGTTCTTCTTAAAGTAAGGGGCATGGGCCTCCACTATCTATAGGCCTTGGGAAGTGAGCTGAGTGGGTGGAAACTGTGAGCAGCATTAGCGTTATTAGGCCTGCTGTGGTGGTTTTTCTTCGTTTCTAGGATGTTCCTCAGCTCCAGGAGAAAATGCATAAGATGGCATTTGCTAGCTGGGTGATCATCAAGGAGTAGCTCACGTCAGGATGCAGCTGGGGCAACAGGAGGGAACGGAAACAGAGCGCAAGCAGGGAAACATGGAGGATGGGGAAGAGAGGTTGCTGTATGCAAGTCAAAAGGTGGTCTGTGAAAATAGGGGATAGACTGGGAGCCAGACCCAAGAATATTTGGAATATTGTGTTGGTGGAAGGGAGTTTAACTACATCTCAAGAAAATTTTACCTTTTATGTTCATTAATTGGTTGTATTCAATAATTGGTTGTGATTGCATACCAAAATAAATAATCTGAAATAACCATGTTAGGATTGGCCACCCTGGACCAGCAAGCAGTAAAGCGGCACTGCAAATACAGCCTGAAGTCCTGGAGTGACACCAGTTTGCAACA